CCAAAACAAATTTAAATTTTTTTTAAATCCTACGCTGGTCTAATCCCTGTTTGCTGCTTGCTATATTCTGCGATACTTCATGGAGTTAATTGATAACATGGAGTTAATTGATAACTGAACAACCTATGCTTTTTATTGAGATAAATTGTGTTTATAATTGTATAAGTCTATTATATACTACTACTACTATAGTTCACTCTAATTAATTCGGGAAATAATTAGATTTTTGGGATTGGAGTAAATAAATATGAAAAGCTGCAGGTACAAAGTCTTAAGAATAGAAAGAAAACTCGATTAAGTATGAAAGATGAATGAACTAGAAGTAAAATAAACTAACTCAAAATGCGCTTAAATATATTTATTCAAATTTATATATTCACAAATCATATTTCATAACATGGCGGGATCACTGATCAACGGACCACGACCACGACCAAGACATAACTTTTCACTTTATCCTCTTATGCCAGAACCGCTCAAGGAGAAAGACACCTGCGCCCAGGATATAACCAACAACGCACAACCACCATGCCCAATAAAAGTACTGAACATTCAGCGCAAATCCCGCTTCATAATCCCGCGGTAGCTTATGTAAGATCCCAGCGTTATAAGCATCACGCCGCGAATCGAGGTATGCTTTGTAAATGAGACCTGTATTGAAAGACCATAATAGCATATCGCTCACTATTTCATCATATGGTGAATTAAGAGGCATTATCATGCCGCACATTGCATCCCAAATAATTTCGGATTCCAATAAGCGTACACGTTTGAAGTGTAAATTTGTTTGTTGGGAGCCAAAGAAATCATGATCCCACGGTGTATTCAACAATATCACGGAATCATTGAGTGTTTTAAGCTGTTCCCACATCTCACTCGAACTCACGATTACAACTTTTCGCCGCAACTCCTCATCTGTTATAAAATAAAGTATGTTTGAGGAAGTTAACTGAATTTTAAAAGGCGAGTTTATGACGTCAGCAATGGAACTTATCTGCGGTTGATAGACTCCCGTTGTGAGAAAACTAACGATTAGAGCACTGTAGTAATTCACTAAAATGAACGCCAATATACAGTGAAATAAATATATTAAATTCAGCCGGAGTTTGTAGCTTGCACGCTGACAGCGCCTATTGTCGGCAAAACTGAGTGATGGCAGCAATTGTAGAAAGTTATCGATGAATATATGTAGATTTTCCAACATCACGTGGCGAAGCCGAGTATAACAATTATGTGAATGTAAGTACTCAATACGAGTAATTACATACTTGACGATGGTAAGCATCAGCGATGTAAAAATTATATAATATAAAATCGCATGCCACAGCTTTGACTCAAACGGTGCCCACAAAAAATATTTAAAAGGAAGCGGTTTTGCGTTCGGCACACGAAAATAAAATCTAAATGAAAATGGCGGTTGACTTATGTGCCATTTATCGTAGTCTGCAAAATAAATATGCAAAGATATATCCAGTTGATTTCGCAGCACTGCTGCAAGCAGTGGTTGTATTTCTACACTTTCCGGATACGGTTCAGGAAGCACAAATTCCTCCAACGTGGCGTTGTGCACCTGAATAAAATTACGGAATATATAATACATCATACCGGAAGTCTTCTGGTGACCATACCGATCTGTGTAATTAAACACATCTGGCGGTCTTTGTCCGAGAGGTGTGCGTATTGGATGTCCTTGAAAATCTCGCGGTAATGTACATCGAAAATAATCCTCTGGACGCTCAACTGTTACCAACTGCAACTCTGGGAAAGGTGTGTAACTCATAAGCCTTATTTGAGTGTTGTTAACACTAGTTGTCGTATACAGGCTCATCATGTGTGTATAACCCGATTTCCACGCCCATTTAAAAATAATCAATTGTGATTTTTCATCGCTCAGTATTGTTGGTAGTACGAGCAGTACTTTCAGATGACGCAGTCGTGTTAGTAGCTCATTTAGTATGTCCAGCACGTCATTAAATTTAGCCTCAGTAACTAATACGATGGCTATCGCATTTTTATTAATTTGATAAATTAATTGAAAGTTGGTCTGTATGCGATTAACTAAAATCACCGTCGTTTCTCCGGTGATATAGTCACTGATTTCCACTTCCTTGCTATTATAGATGAAAATATTGGTATCCACTTTAGTTTGCTGATTAAACTCCTTCAATTTGTCGCGTATTTCCGTAGTAGGCATTTGCGCCCGGCACTGATAAATGAAGTTAACAACAAAAATTAGGCTGACAAATTGCAACTGTGCGTACATTGCTGCTCCTGGTCCTTATTCTGTGAAATTTAGTGAATTTATGAGTACTAACGCATTAATGGGCTAAGCTTTATAGGCTCAGACACTTCATAAATGATTAAACATACGAGTAATTAAGTATTGTAATGAGGAAAATGAAGAACTTATGCTTTGTCATTGGGTGAAATTAAGCTGTAGACTGTTTAGTTCTATTGTATTTGTTCTATCACTGTCAGTTTACGCTAATAAATTTTATATGTATTTGTGTGATTATGATATTAGATTAGCCATCATGAAGAATCAAAGTAATTATGTTCATTATGGATACACATGGTGTTTTCAACCCAATCTGTCTGAACTTTCTGGAGGACCACAGTCCCCCACACAACAGCCCCGTAAAGTAGAACTGTCTAGCACCAGTATATGAGAAAAAGACAATCCTCTCCTCCAACACTCCTATCTTTCTGCTAGCTTGATCCAGTTGAATACTTTTGCTACTCTACGCCTGCAATACCCGAGCTCCTTATTCCACCAATGAAGTTTCGTTTTAAACTCAAATCTCAGCGAAGGACCATCGGAATAAAAAGCTTTATTAAGAGCGTAAATAAATTATCGCTAGGCAGAATATCTTGCATAACGCTGCTTTTCAGTAGAGGCCCCGGTTTGTATTCTTTAGACTCTCTCCAACTTCGTGTCTCATTTTTGATTCAAATCTAAGGGAGAAGTAAATGGAGCTTCCACAACCGTAAAGTCATCTGTGGTAAGACTGGAGTCAATATTACCGACCGTACCTTATTTAGGCGGAGTTTAAGTTGTATAACTGGAGGATGAAGTCGTGTGTAGAAGTTCACGATAATGAGGAAAGTTCTCTGAGAGCCATTCACTTGGGAGTGACCCGAAATGCTCCTTTTATATATGGGTCAAGCAGTTAACGACTTCCGGTCGTAGACGAAGTATTCGCTGGACCGTCAAAGAAAATACGTCTGAAGGCAAGCTTAAGTGAGAAGGCGAACCATCGCTTCCCTGGAATGTACAGTTCTTTAATTGGGAAAGTGCCACTGCCCAGCTGGTTGATATCATTGTCGTACAGAAAATGTGATGGACGCACCAACGATTGAGACGAATAGGTCCATGTGTAAGAGATTCCCACAATCCGCTTCAAGGCGAAGTTCTTCAACATATCGCTGATTTGCACCCACGCCCCGGCAGAAGAAAAGGACGATGTGACCGATGTCAATAAATTCAGCCTCCATCATAAAACATCTCTAAATGGATTGAGGCTGATCGACTTCGCCATGGCCCGAAAGATGGTTAGCTGTTGTACTAGATTCCAGCATAGGAAAATTCATCAAGTTGCACACGTGTCTCCGAATCGAAAAAGTCACGTCTCCAGTTTTTAGACGTGTGATCTGAAGTCCTAACATCGACGTGAATCATTACCTTGTTGCAGCCAGATACGCACCCACCTCTGTGCAGTAAAAAACGAACACCAGCAAACACAAGGAAAGGGCGACGTCGAGAAGCTGCTGTGGAAAAGGCAAAAGAACAGGCGGTATGATGAGGAGTGCCATGTCGTAGTGGGGAGAAAACAGACTGCCCACTTCGCAAGTGAGGCGAGACGCATTTGCAGACAGAAAAGAGAGAGTCCGAGTTGATCTAGTGACTGATGCCCAGATCATAGTAAATTATGGAGGGAAAATTTGTCTAGCTTCCAGCTTACTGAATGGCAGTGGAATCATAACAGCAGGAGCTGGTTAACCCGATTTCCCTATTGATGACGATGGAGCAGACGTTACATTGATTGTCTGAGGAACAACGAAGCGACGAGGGTCGATGACTAGCCGGTCGAGCTATTCAAATATGGCGGCGAAGAACTGATAAGGAACTTGCATTAGTTTATTTGTAGAATATGGTCATACGAAAGCATGCCCAGCGATTGAACTATACTTTAGTTTTTCCCTATCAACACGAACACAATTGCTAAACGTAATTGTAATATGCGAGAACTCATCTTATAGCATATATTTCGATAAAATCTGACGGACACTTCTAAACCAAAACCTAATTTTGAAAATGGTTACAATTCAAGCTCCTTACTTCATAGATAAAAATCTGAAGTACAAGTACTGCGACGATCTACAACCCAAAAATATAAAACGAGCTTCAGTTATCATTATGTGCTTCTCATAAGGTGAAGTTCAGTGAATTAACTAATGTAACAAATATTGACGTTTCTTAGAAGTAAAAATTTTAACTTTTAAACGAAAAGCTTTCGTGATCTAATTTGTATCGGATTCGTATCCGACCAAGAATTGTCGGAAAGACATAATTTCCAAATACAATTTTCCTGGATTTCAATTGCTCTGATCCCACTGAAGATCGTTCCAACATGGGCGAGCCTAAAAGTATGCAATTTTATGACACACAATTGCCCTTAACACAACAAGCCATGCCGCAGACAGGTAAGAAAAGCATATAACCAAAAACAAAAAAGCAATGTGAATGAGAAAAGGCATTAACCAAAATAAAATCTAGACAACAACAAACACAAAGCAATATATAATAACTGATTGTACGATTTTTTCGCTACCTGTGCATGGACCGGCGGCAGCAGAAACCCTGAGAGCTGCTTACCCATATACATGGCCGAGGCAGTGTGAGTGTTGGCGTTTGAGCTGCAGGCAGAACCAAACTACAATTAGCGCATTTTGCTGCCGAATTGAAAGCAAATACGCTCAGTCGCAACGGATTCGCGAGAGTGAGCGCAACGTGTATGGATGCGGGTTGACGGCAAAACGCGAAAAAGTCCAAATAGTTTGGAGTACATAAAGGTCTTGCATCGTGTTGTGGTGTGTGGTAGGGAAAACAAAAACAATTTGTGATATTGTGTGCCGCAGGAATTTGTGTAAAGTAAAAGATCTTGCTACGAAATTTTCTTTTTCAAGGCGCAGGCAAGTGAGTGTGGCATATAATTAGTCTTTTTTGTTTTATAATTTGCGGTTTTTGTTAATTTTGCGGCATTTCTCGGTAGTTTTTGTGGTAGCAGATCGCATGTTTGTTTGCCTTGTTGTTTTCTGTGGTTTTTTGGCTGATAATTGTGTGCTTGCGGTTGAGCTTTACTTTGAGAGCAATAAAATGCCGAAAACCAACGTGAAAACTGGTTTCGGAAATTTACTCGTACGCATGCGCACACCGCTTATTGGCAATTCGAAGAGTGCTGGTGACGGCAGAGCGGTTTTGTTTACAAATTTTCAACTTAATGATGAGAAAAATTTGTTAACGTGTATAAAAGCGTGGAAATAAGAATAAAAATTTTTGGGAGCTTCATAGAAATGTGAAATTTTCTTGTAAACAAATGCTTGCTAACAAATTGTTTGTGTATAAATGATACGAAATAAAGATATTATATAATATGAATCACTTTTAAATAATAATAATGAGGTTAAACAATTATTAAAAACAAACTACAAGCTTTCGAAATTTAGCTAGTACTTAGTTTATAAAAGTAATACTTCTGTCAAGAAAGTATCGAGAATTTATAAATAAAACGGAAATGTTTTAATCATCATTCAAATTTATTTTATCGCCTTCAAAGTAACATCAATTTGAAGCGATGCACATGTGCCAACGATTCTCCCAATCGTCAAAACATTTTGTTATATGCACTTTCCGGGATGGCCTTCAACTCTCGCTTCGAAGTTGTTTTGATTGAGTTGCAGCGTGCTCGCCGCAGTGGATATTTTAGTGTGAAGAAAGATAAAAGTCACATGGAGCTAAATCAGGTAGATTCGGTACTTGTTCAAAGATATTTGTTGAATGTTTGGCCAAAATTTAACACAAAAACGTAAAAAAAAATTTTTTTAAATCCGAAAAACACTACTGAGGTCGACTGACATAAATAGCTGCTGTAAACACACTGGCTAACAGATGGCGCTAATTTTTAGCATCATAATTAAGGACAGTTATACCAACCCAGAAAAAAAACTATATGTCTTCCATATAAGCGCGAGATGAGAGGGGGAAATGAAGAACTCCCGATACTTTCTTGACAGAATGTGTTTTAATATTGCTATAGTGAAAGTTTTGCATTTTTAATTTAACAAAAAAATGTTTAATTTAACATAAGCGTATAGTCAATTTATGTCCTCAATATAAGAAAACACAATAACTTAAAGACAATAAAACTTCTTCTTTATTAGCGTAGACACCTCTTACGCGATTATAGCCGAGTTTACAACAGCGCACCAGTCGTTCTTCCTTTTCGCTGTGTGATTCCAATTGGAGATTCCAAGTGTAGACGGGTTCTTTTACACCTGGTCTTTCCAACGGAGTAGAGGTCTTCCTCTTCCTCTGCTTCCCCCGGCGGGTACTGC